CCGAAAAATTGTGGAGCTGGCGGGAGGGAGGGAGGTGGAGGGAGATTGGGGAGGGGGGAGGATGAGAGGGAAGCCCAGCCCTGTCCTACCTCCCCCGGGGGGGGGGACAGAGTCATGGAAGGGGGCCCCCAACACCCCTCCTCCAACACAGGTCCCCCCACCCTGGGGGAGAGAGACATGGCTTTTCCTAGAGTAAGTTCCCCCCTCCCCCTGGGAGTAGAGACCAAGAAGAGAGAGGGGGAGGGACAAGGGGGGCTGTGTGTGTCAGGGTAGGGCAGATCAACTAGTCTGTCCTCCCTAACATACACACCCTCCTAGACCCTAACCCCTCACCCTAACCTCAATTCCACCCCACCCAACACACTGGGGGAGGGGGGGGCATAAGCCCCCTCACCCCGCTCTGGGACCAGCCAAGAGCAGATCAGGTGTGGGAGGAAGGGGAGATGACTCCCATTCCCCCCTTGCCGCCCCCTCCCTGCCCCGGTGGCCCCTCCACCCCATCTGGGTTCTGGGTGGGGAGGGAGTAAATTTAAGAGTAGTAGGAGGAGAAGGAGTTTGTGCGTGCTGAGCCCCCCCAGACGCTCCTGAGAAATCAAGGGGTAATAGGGCCCCCTCACCTGGGGTCCCCTCCCCATAACAAGGGGGACAGGGGAGGCCAAAATGGGGCGGTGGAGGGGAATTAGATTGTCAGCTCTGGTTACTGCTAAAAAATCACCCTGAAGTTGAAAGTTTGGAGGTGCCACACCCCCAGGGTGGGGGCGAGGGTCTGTCCCCCAGTGCTCAGGGGAACGATGAGGCAGAGGATGGGGATAGCACCCCGGAGTGAAGGGGTCTGTGTGGGGTAGGTGGTGTCCTGGGGCAAGGGTCCCTGGGGGTCACAGGGGGCAGCACCCCAACAGGAAGGAAAAGGGGACAGCTAAGGGTCCCCACTCTCCCTCCTGGAAATGGTGCGGTGGGGGTGGGGGATTGATGCCCCCCAAGGAGGCATTCAGGGAGGCAATCCCGCTGTCCCTCGGCGATATCCAGTCCTGGTGGTGGGTGCTGTTCCAGGGTGGGGTGCATGGGGAAGGAGAAGAAGGTCTGTGATGCTGGGTGGGCTAGTGGTCTGCGGTGTTTCGGAACTCGCCGTTCTCGGTGATCTGCAGCCGGGGGGGGGGGGGGGGGGCGGGGGGGGCCAGGCCGTTCCAAGGTGGGGCC